GGCTGGACTTGGAAGAGCCTTTGTAGATTCCTAAAAGAAAAAATACGGATGAACTACATAGTCCTCTGAATTAACAGATGTAATTATTTTCAGTACTGCATCACAGCATATGAATTCATCAAACAAATAGTTTCTTGAAATTGGAAGGTACGAGGAAAAAAGAAGAAAAAGTGTTCTCAAACACTTCGAACAGAGGCCAGCAGTTAGTGTTCTGCTGACAGCAGGCTGCGGTATCTACATTTATTCTAAAAACTAGCAAAATGTGAATAATCCATTTATAATGTACCACCGAAGTAGTAGAAAATATCCTATGAATACGTGCCTTTTCCCCCATATTAGACTATTTGCGCACAACCAGCAATTCTTCAACGTTCTTCATTCACTACAAGAGATAGTGAATGGCTCCCCCTAACTCTGGGGTTACAAACCTCAGTGCGGTTCAAGTTCATACTTTTGGCAGAGACACCCCTCCCAGTAAACAGATCTGCTCACTGCAGTGGCCATTTGTCAATTCTGGAACAAGCAGAGACATTTAGGCAGAAGTGCTGTGGTAGTCCTGTTCTAATGGCTCAGTTATCTGGCATGATGCCTGGCATCTTTTGATGTCTCGTTATCTTGTAAAAGCAGAACAGCTGCACACGTGGTAGAGTTTTCCAATGAACAAGTCACAAGACTCGCAGAGATATAGCTGGTGGAAGAACTGCTGAAATGCTCTTAGAATAATAATAACAACTTATCAATGGCTGGAAGAAAATCATCCTTTTAATTCAGGCTCTGTGAAGAGTATTTGCTTGTGAAATATCTTCCGCTAGTTCTAATGGTCATCTGTAAGAAGGGAATAATAAGAAGAGCACAGCTGTAAGCTCTTCTGAACTTAGCTCTGCTATCAGATAGCTGTCTTGGGAGACTAATAGATAAAAGCAAAACATGGCTTTTCTCACCAAATAACAACTGTTTTGATACATACAGCTTTGAGTTGATAAGCTCCCTGTACATGCCTTCATCTTCAGACTTGTGATCTTGATACTACGACTCTGTTACACACTGGGTAACCAACTCTACTATCTGGGCATCAGCTCATCTGTGACTGTGCAGAAAAGGAAGATTGTTAGGGTTCTTCAGCCCAGCAGAGATTTCCTTGCATGAAAGCTGGTAATATAAAAGAGCTCTAAATGAAACTGCACCTGGCTTTTATCAGCATAAATAGTGAGAGTCTGTATTTCAACCACTAGTCAATAATGAAAGATCCCTTACTCAACTTACATGACCCAGGCAAAAAAAAAACAAAAAACAAAAACAAAACATCCAAACTCATATTGCTCATTAGCAGGTATTCAGCTGACAGACTACAATTTTCAGAGATGTCAGTCTTTAAAAGTTATGCTATAAAAAAATAGAGACGAGCAGAAGAAACTCAGAGTTAAATAAATTTATACTCAGAGAACTTTCCTATCTGAGAGAGGTGAGCCACACTCCCTGAGGACAGCAAACTCCATGTCTTTCCAAAATAAGCTACAGCACAGCTCCTTTCAAATAAAGGAATGACTCAGAGGGTGCCACTGTCACCACGTCTGGCTGTGAGTCCTTCAGAACTCTCACTGACACCCGCTCTGGCTTTGAACACCAGATGACAAAAGCCAGAGCAATCTTCACACTTCAGGCTGCAGAACAGCAGGTGGTTTGCGTTTCTATTTAATACAAGTGGTAAAATATAATACCACACAGCTGACAAAGTCCCCTATGGTAAAGATCCCAAAAAAAGCCCCAGAAGCAATTCATTCCCCTTGGAGATCCATGCTAAGGACTGCAGTAGCAAGGGTCTGTTCAGAACAGCTCCTCCGTTAGACCAGCCCCAAATGCCCTTGGCACAAGACCAGGGCATTTTGTTTGCAAACAAGCCACCTGGAGAAAAAAGGAACCAAATGACACGTTTCTGAGAAGACACGCTGAAGAGCACTAAATCAGTGTTTGCCTTGGTTGGAAGAGGAAGTGTGCCACAAAGCCTGATTTTAGTCTGTGGCACTCATACTTCTCCCTTGCACGAGGAAACCGCAGCGTGCCCTACCGCCCTCTGTTGCAGGCCCCTTCCCTAACCCCCGCTGCCCTCCCCTGAGTTCCATGCCGTTCCCTCGGGCCCCGTCGCTGTCACACAGAGCAGAGCTCAGTGCTGCCCCTCCGCTTCCTGTGAGGAGCTGCAGCCACCATGGGCCCCCTCAGCTGGTTCTGCTCTGGCTTGAGCAAACCGAAGGACTTCAGCTCTCCTCATACATCCTGCCCTCCAGACTTCACCGTCTTCGTAGTTTTATGTCCTTCTTACACATCCCTCAGGGCAATACTACATGGCAACACTATGATTACCATTACCTTATGAGAAATGTATTGTTTTAAACAGTGTTTTTCTCTTCTTGTCCAGATACAATGCAAGGTGAGCAAACACCCTCCTGCTCATAGCTTCAGTTCTGTCAAAAGATGGTGGCATCTAGAAGGCTTATTTCCTTGAGGAAAACAGCCCATAATGTGTTTGTCAGCCTTTTGAGCTTGTATTGCTAAATAGAGACAGAAAACACATTGTACTAGCTCCTCAGGACAGGGATGAACATTTTCTAGTGCTGAAACCTCTGTCTTCCTTGCTGCTCAGGTTACAACTTTTTGTCTTTTACCCATCTGAACCTGAAGTCACCTTATGTCCCAACTCACAGCAGAGGGTTTATGTATCATCTTGCACTATCAAGGCACTTGGTCCCGAGGGAAAAGAACAGAGATGCCTGCATCTAGCAACAACATACACAGGTCATCAAACACAAAACCCTCTGCTTTGTAGCTGGTCACAAAGTTGCCATTGTGTTCCACCTTTTCTCTCTTGCTAAGATCCTGATGTTTTTCATTTTGGTCCATTTTAGCAACTGACTTCATTTTTTATTCCAGTGACAAGCATTGAACATTACATTTTAGTTTCTCTGCAGAAAACCCCCTGCTTGCTGACCATTATCTATCTAGGGTAAATTGTCTGCAGACGCCCAGTATGTGATTATGAAAGATTAAACAAACAGTAAGGGAACAGCATTAGGAATCCAAAATGCCAGTGCTGACAGTGCATGCAATTATGGGTTTGTTATTGAAGGGAGCACATCTTTTTGAAGCCTCGATAGATTTTAAAAGATACAATATCTTTCTGCTAGTGTCACATAGTGGTTCAGGAAATGAGGGAGATACTTTTCTTCCCAGCACTATATAATAGAAAGAATAGTAGATACGGAGGAAAAAAAAGTCTTTGATATTACTTCTCCACTCTTCTCACAATTCTGTGACAATTCTGTAATAATTGAAAATACCAACACTCCATTAAAAGTCTTACTAGATAATCCCATTCCTTGAATTTTAGGGGATTCTTTGATTTCTCAATCCTTAGTAATCTTAAATAAAACCAACAATTTTCTCTAAACCAAAGCCAGACCTCATGGGGTGAACAATGTTCTCACAAATGTCTATCTATCTATTGATCAATCTCTCTATGTGCTCATAGATTAGAAAACAATTAAACAAACAACACTTGCATTCTGAAGATTAGCAACAGTAATTTTCCTCAGACAGGTTTATCATCAATTTCTCTAACACGCACACAATATGAGAAGTTGAGCGAAACCTGACTTAGGCTGACTAATGAAGATGGTTCTCTTTGTACTGACTGACTGCTCACATTTCATTTGTTTATTTTGACATTCTGGTTAGGTGGATTTTATGCCAGTCCTCTGAAATATCACATACTAGGTGAAAGTCTAGGTCCACAACTGAAGAAAGGGAGCTTGGGGAAGTTGCATTTTATCTACCATATTATCATCTGTTGCCTCAGATGGGATCATCTCTACCTTTCTTTATCATTCTTCCTCCTAAATCTTCCGTATGCAGCCTTTGTAAAGCCTATAATACATTGATACCATATTGACAAGAATCATGATGAATAAACAGAATACCTCAGATATTTCAGGATATCTCTGCCCTTTGGGATTGAAGCCTCTCATGTAGTCAGAAAAGCTCACAACTATGGACAGAGAGTGTGATTTTGCCTACTGTTATGGAGATTTTTCCTCCCAGTGCAAGTTTTCCATATTTCAGATATTTCTGATAGTCCCTCATGATTTCTTATCCTTTCTGCAATTATTCCAATTTGCTTGTACCAATTATTTGTCTATTTCACTTGTAGCTCTATACAGACTAGCCCTGGCTAAACTCTACTTAAACATAGCATGCAGTGTGTGTCTGAGGAAGCTAAAAATCTTTATGAGAGATACTTGTTTGTTTGAAAAAGGTAAATTCTTCCCACAAAGGAGACTTTTTCTCTCTTCCCATTTTTTCCTCAATTCTGAAATTAAGCATGAAATTTTTGCTGTCTTAGGGTTATAGTTGCTGTTGTGGAGCCTCAAAACTGGCGTGTACTGAAAAAGAAGATACAAGGCAAATAAAAGGAATGTATGAAAGGTTTCCAGTAGTCTTATACAGAATCATAGAATCATAAAATTATAAGGTTGGAAAAGACCTCTAAGATCATTTAGTCCATCTGTCCACCTACCCCAATATTACCCACTAAACCGTGCTCCTAAATTCCACATCTACATGTTTCTTGAACACCTCCAGGCGGTGATTTCACCATCTCCCTGGTAAAGCCTGTTCCACTGCCTGACCACTCTTTCAGAGATGAAGTTTTTCCTAACCTGATCTTCCTCTGATGCAACCTGAGGACATTTCCTCTTGTCCTATCACTTACCCAGGAGAATATGCTACATTATTCATAATATAAATGTATCAGATTTCAGGTAGACTTTTCAGGTAGAATTTTGAATGTAGACTTAAAAGATCCCATGATTAGCAGGAAGTCAGTTTGTCAGTTGTCCTCAATACGCAGTGTAGAAAAGTGTCAGTAATGGCTGTGATGAATTGTTATTCAAGAAAATTGTAAACAACTTTAACTCAGAAACAAAGACTTGCATTATCCTGCAACGTACTCGATGCATGTAGGATAAATTAATCTTTATTAAACAAAGACACTGTGCAGCCAAGCAGACAGTTCAAGTATCACCTCATTCCTATACATCACTTACTGAGTTTTTCAGCAAATCATAAGCATGGTTAATTAAAAGAAAAAGAGTACAACCACTTTACTTTGAACGCTTCAGGCAGCAGATGTGATGTCCTAGCTACTGCTGCCATTCCCAGGCTGCATATCAGTGCCCTCTTCCAAACAGCAGTATGCACACACTGCCACTATTTCTACCCTGCATTTGTGTTCAGATTTTTCTCTGCCTTGTGGGTCACATTGTGCTGTGTCTTGGGAACCTCATTCCTTCTCACTGGGGACATTCCTTCTCTTCCTGCTGGAAGACACAGCCAGAGAGGACTGCTGCATTCCAAACCTTGTATCAATGTGTGTAAGGCACATCTGTGAACAAAACACAACACCCAAGTCAGACACAGCCTCCTTCCACCTTCTATCCAGTTTTGTTCATAACATGCATTTTTATTCTCATTTCTCACGTCCTATTGTTGCCTCTGCCCCTTCATAAACAATAATATGGTGAGTGCATTGTACATGTAGAGCAAGCACCCACGTAGTGAGCTACTACATGTCCTTGAATGACTGAAGAGAAAGAAGGGAAATACATGTTATATATTCATACTTACATATAAAGAATTGCCTTTTACCCCAAGAAAACCAAGATAAAATTCAGACAATATATAGTTGCTTTGCATATAAATGAAGGAGACCATATTTACCAGAGCTGCAGTGCACGTCGGAGGTTTTCTTTCATGTTTAGCACTTGAACTCAGTTAGAAAAATCATTTGTGTCAACTCACAAATCTAAATGTCAACTGTCAGAAAGGGTTTAGCTACTTATTTCACTAGGAAAAGACTTTCAAAGTATTAAAGCTTTCTATTGCATTTCTATTAAAAACAGTTGTATCAATCGGATACAAATGCACTCATTCATAAACTTCTTAAGGGATAAATCCTCTGTTTGAATAATTGCAAATGAAAAGATAAATCCTGAAATTCAGTTATAGTTTAAGTAGTTTTCGCTGTGGGCCAAAACTTTGTAAGACGTAAAGAAAAACTGAAGGATTGGCACAGCAATGTAATTTCCATGGAGAAAGTAAACCTATTCAGCACAATCATTTATCTTACAATTGAACTCATCTTGTTTGGATTTTTAATTCCCATTGTAACTCTGTGTTAACTTCTTTTGACAGAGTGAATTGTTTTCAAAAAGAAAAAAGATAAAATAAACCATTTGATCCCAAAGTGAAGAGTGGACCCATCACAGCCACTGCAGTAAACAATTAGAGGTAACTACAGATTAACTCAAATTTAACCTAACTCGCCTGCCTTTAATCCACAGATGATTTAAAAGTGATTCAGAGCTAACAGCTAATAGACAGAAGCCTTCTGAATTCTTTCATTAACGCACAACAGCATCTTCAAACTATGTACATTTCCAGTGTGGGTTAATGGGTTAAGAAGATGAAAAGACTGAAGTAAGGGAAATGAAACCAATTGCTAATTCCTTTCTGTAGAAAGAGCAGGAACAATATTTTGGATGCAGACATCAAAAGAAATTTAAAATTTCAACTGCTGTTGCAGAAAATAGAGAAACAAAACAACTGGCCCAGAGACTTCATGTATCCTCAGTTATCTAAGAAGATGGTACTTCAAGGACTCAAAAGGCTACAGGTGGGCTTTCAGTATAGCTGCCTAGAAGATATAGGGCATAAAGCAGCTGTCTACCAGGTCTGGTCTCTCAGAGGACCCTTCTGTTGAGGTCACAAGCTGCTTCACAAACAGTTGGTACTGAAGCACAGCTCCTTTTGGCACCTTGAACTTTCAGCCAGCAGTCTAAGGCAGCATCCCCTCCACACATCATGATACTGATACTAAATGGAATAAGTTGATTGCACTGATCGCACAGCAGGCTCAAACAGGGAATCTCAGTCATCTGAAAATCTTTGAAGTGATTATGGATTGGCCCAAAGGCAAAGATTTAAGAAAATAGCTAGAAGAGGTAATGGTGATACATGCTAAAGCAGCTCCACTATATAATAAGCTGCCAGAAAATTACAATATGCCTTGTTCATTGATAGATCTTTCATTGATAGATCCTGTTGCATTGTGGGAAAGCACTGGAGATGGAAGGCTGCTGTATAGAGCCCTCACAACAAGTTGCAGAAGTTACTGAAAGAAAGGATGAATTGAGCCAATTTTCAGAAACAAATGCCAGTTGTTTTTAAATGTTTTTAATGAGAATGGCCAGAGCTCTACCTTTACACTGACTACTGGATGGTGGCAAATGCCCTAAGGATGTGGTAACAGCAATGGAAGTAGAACAAATGGCAGCAGAGACAAATAGATCAGAGACGCTGCACAGCAGAAAGATATTGCTTGCCCAGGTAGAGAACACAGCAGTAAAAGTACATTATGTAGATACTAATGTGCAAAAGAGGCCACAAAAAACAACTTCAAAACAACCAGAGAGAGATTGAACTGCTAAGACTGAAGAGGCGCAAGCAGATTTGGATTAGAAACATAAGGGTTAAGTACTTGAAGCTCACTCTAAAGAGCAAATAAAACAAAGTGATCACAAACACACAAAAAGTAGGAGAAAAAAATCCAGAGGCAGACATGACATAAACAAGAAAAAAAAATAATAGAAGGGGGAGTACATAATTTTGGTGAATAATCAAAGCTTATACGTTCGGAAGAAAAACCACAAATCTACAGAAAAAGGCCCCTAATGCAAAAAGAGTCAGATATATGCTTCCGCCTCTTCCTCCCACCTACCCCACGGTTCCAAACACAGCTTCTTCCGCAGGGACTCCTGAAAAAGAAGGCAGGCACCATCAGGCCCAAGAAGGAAACGAGGAACCCAACGTCCCAGTGCAGCTGGCACACAAGCGCCCAGTCAAGGAACACCTCGCGTCTCCCAGCCCCAACTCATACCAGCAAAAAAACAAAACAAAAACAAGACACATTGAGCAACACCTGGACTTCCATATGGCGCTGCTGCAGGCCACAGAGTCAGGCAAATGGGACTGGGCAGGCAATGTGGCGGCCAAAGGGTCCGCACCTTTGCTTACAGAGGGCCCCTGGTCACCGCTCCCACTGCAAAGGGCCTGGAAGCCCAGGGCATGGCCAAACCCTGACTTACAGGGCAGCCCCGATCCCAAAAGGCCAAGGGGGGCTCCTCTGCCAGTCAGGGGCACCTTGACCCACACCCCAATAACAGGGCAGTCACCCCACACAGGCTGCCAGCAAAATACAAAGGATCCCACTCACAGACCCTGGGTACTGGCAGGGCGATGACAACTGGGAGCCACAGAGCTTGGTTTCCCACTCACCAGCAGGAGCAACTCTCAGTGGCCAGGCAGTGGGGCGGCACAGCCAAAGGCTGAGGTTGGGATCCCAGCCCCATATATCTTGGCACCACACCTCTGAAAGGCCAGGCATGCCTGCCTGAGTACAGGTAGTCTCACTCATCTCCCTAAGCGCAAGGGGCGCACACAGCCCTGAGTACAGGATGGCACCCCACCCCACATCCAAAAGCCCTACAGAACACACAGCTCCCAGCAACGCCCAAGGTACAAGCAGGCCCACCTGGCTGCAGCATGGTCACCACTATCACGTCTTCAGGAGCCCAAGGAGCAACCTCTCCCTGCACAGCAGGGAGGTTGCCCCAGCCACAAGTAGCACCTCAACCTGCACTCTCTATCAGGCCAGGAAGGGACTGCTCCCACCAGCTGACTAAAGCAACTGGCTGCACCAGCACAGCCTCTCCAAACCTAATTATGGGGGGGAGCCGCATCAGGGACAGAGGGTTCCACAGCTTGTGACACACGTCTCGGGTACAGGGCTGTCACTTCGCCAGCAGGACACGTAGGCACAGACCCAAGCCCTGGATACAGGGCAGCCGTGGCCACACTACTACCACACAGGCCTGGCCACCTCTTCCTTAGCCCAGCTGCAGTCTTCTGCTTCCTCTTTGTGCGCCCTCTTCATGTGCCCTCCTGCCTCCCAGTTCCACACACGGCTTCTTCCGCTGTCTTCTGCAGGGGCCCCTGAGAAGGAAGGCAGGCACCATCAGGCCCCAGAAGTACCAACGCCCCCACCTGAAGGAAACAAGGAACCCAACGTCCCGGTGCAGTTGGCACACAAGCACCCAGTCAAGGAACACCTCACATCTCCCAGCCCCAACTCCCAGCAAAAAACCAAAAACACTCCCCCAATGTGATGTAGTTTTATTCTTTATTTTGACTGTTAGTGGGGTGTACTTTCATGCTTCATTTTCACTTCAGAATTGCGGCATGTACAAGGGAGCTCTGTTGCACATGGTTGTTTCTCTGCTTACCTCTTCTTAGCACTCCCCTGTTTTTGTTTTTCATTTGTCACCCAGGCTTCCGCATTTTCATCTGTTTCTCTTCCATCAGTTGTTGGTATCTTATTAAGTTACAAGACTGTCAGCTCCCAGCACGTAGTGCCATGCTTACTTTTGAGTTATAAACTAGAGTTTCATGTGAAGGGCCAATGTTTCTTTTTGTTTCCTTTTTATCTTATTTACAGAGCTTTTTCCACTTGAAAATGGTCAAGTTTTATCTTGACCATTACAGCACTACTCTATTACTCTATTGGCTCCCCCCATTCACCATCAGGTTTTTTTTGTTTGTTTGGTGGATGCTACAACATCTTCTCTTCCGCCTTCCTTCCAAAGGGGGGATTTCTCCCTCTGAGACTTAACTCTCTACGGGGCACCGCTCCAGTCGGGTCAGATTTTCTTCTAGCAGAGCTTCCTCCGTCCATATCCCCTCCCCCCCCAATCTTCTCCCTTCAGTCACAACGGCAGTTTTTCCACCGCCCCACAGCGGCGCGGGCCGCTCGTCATTTCCCCGTCCCCTGCAGCCCCACGCGGCAGTTTCCCGCCTCCTCTCGCGGCAGCCTCCGTCCCGCCCCGCCCCCATCCCTTCAGCACTGCGAGGCTTTGCGGCGCGGCGCTGCCCTGTCCCGTCCCGCTCGCCTCGCACCGCCTCTCTCACCTCAGCCCGCGGACGCCGCTCGTGTCCCTCTTGTCTCGTCTCGTTCCGTCCCCGTTCCTTCCACCCAGCAAGCCTGCCTGGCATTGTCCCATCCCGTCCCCGCGATGTCGCTTTCCCACCGCGCCGTCCTCTTACCTCAGCCCGGGGTGCCGCTTGCCGCCTGTTCCTCAGAGCAGTGGTTTCCTGTCACGCTGTGAGGACGTTTTCCTCCTTGCGCCTTATATAGGTGTCCCCGGCTCCGCCAGCCAATAGGAGCGCAGAACGCGGCTCTCTCTTCCCGCCGTTTTTGCTTCCCACCGCTCTCGCTTCCCGCCTCATCGTTCCCGCCCTTTCCATCTGGAGGCGATGAGGTCGGAGTCACCTCAGGGTCACCTCGAGGTCACGCGCCCTTCCCGGGCGTCGCCGCCCGTCCCCTCAGGGCGGTGCCGCTTTACAGGTGTTCTCAGCTCACAGCCCGAGCGCCCGGCAGAGCTGGGCGTGAGGGACTCATCTCTTCAGCTTTGGTGTTTGTTTGAGAGTCACATGAGCATGAGGTGTTCCTTCCAAGGCAGTACACATCCACAAACACAATTAAAAATATTTTTTTGATAATTAATTATTTGTGGTGACTCCTCCCTCACGTCTCTGCCTCTTCAAGGGAAATCCCTTCTGAACTCAGAAATATTTTTACAGAGAAAAAAGGGTGTAATAAGCTGATGCCTGTTTAAAGTACCTGGTCTCTCAGTGACTGTGTTACATTAATTTGCTACAAGATTTCAGGTAACAGAACATTGCTCTGTTGGAAATGAACCAAGGTTACTAGCTTCCTGGTACTAAGGAAAAAAAAAAGATTCCCCCAAATATCACCAACTTGCCTAATGCCACCTGAATGCAAAACACTTCAGTGATAAGACCGAGGAGCCTTTACTGCTGGAAACACTTGTGCTAATTATTTCTCCCCCTAATTATTTGCAACAGAAGCATAAAAGAAGTGAAATTAATGTCTGAAGTGCTGTGCCCAAGGAACAGCCTTTAAGAAGAAACTAATTAAACCAGGATGAGCAGCAGCATCTCCTCAGGACAAAATGTACATCCATCCAAAGGAGTGATGGGTGCAGGACTGTGGGTCTCTAGTAATTAAGAACAGGGGTAAGATGCTCCAGTGGGAAAAGACTGAGCAAGGCTTTAGCTGTGCTGTCACCCATATAGGAATGTTAGGTTAGAAGACAGCTCAGTCCGGATAGAGAATGGCTGACCTGAACTGGAGAGGAAAATTTGAGAGTCATTAACATTCACCTGGAAGAGTGAACAAGTTTGCCCATGGGTAAAACAGGAAAAAAGAGAAAAGGAAACCAAGGAATTAAGTTCCCAAAGATTTGGATAATTAGAGGAGTTGAAAGGGGTGTAGTTAAGAGCACTCGGTGGATAAATTGGAAAGCTGAGAAGAAAACAAAACAAAAAGATAAATAAAATAAAAGAGACTTGCTGGATGATGTTAATATGCTTTCCAGTCAAGCAGGGAAAGACAGTGAGGGTCAGAGGTGTGTTCACATAGGTAGATCCCTCTAAAGACTGGACAGGAGCCATTCTAAAGCATTACCAACATGTGGTAGCTGGACAGAAGGCAAGCGGATTAGCTTAGTGTTTACAAAACACAGCTCCAGAAAAGGTCAGTGCAGCTTTAAGTAGGCTACAGGGGCATAGCCATCTTTTCCATGAAGGTGCCATCAGGGGGGACAAGGGGCTGATATTCAGAATGAGAAAGCCCACTGAATTAGAAATATCAGTTAAAGGCTTAAGAGAACAATATATTTCAAGAATTATTTGTTAATTTTACTTTATTTATTTTTCAGCAGATCTCTTTTCTGCTTAAATGCAAGATCTATTAAGCAGCTGCTATGTTTAAATGCAATGCACAAAACGTTTCTTTAGCTCACTGGAGAAACAGATGTAAATGTGAAACATCCCCAAGAAACCTTAGTAAGAGCAATTCAACACTTATAGTGTCAGTTTTAAATACAGCAATACATTCAAATTTTAAGAGCTCTGCCACATAAAACCAGGAAAGAACAGGTGTATTTCAAATGTTTATTTTATTTATCATTTTTAATTATGTCCTTTAAAAGTTTTTAGAATCTAGCACAGATGTAAACACACAGAAAATTTGGATACCAAATCATTATAATGTTTGTAATTCATCACCATCTTCCATTTGGGTATCATACTTCCTCTGGTTGTCAGTGAGTGGTGTGACCACACCTTAAATTTCATGGAAATCAGCATATTCAAGTATCTTAGCAGTAGTTTGTTTTGTTTTTCCTTTTTTTTTCTTTCTATCCCCTTTCCCCCCACCTCTTCCAAATGCATTAGTGACAATTACAGATCAAAATAGTGGATCCCTTAGGCTCTGCTGTTAAAGACACTGGCACATCTCTAGGCATGGGAGAGAAAGAGTTCAGAGGCCATAGCTATTACTGTTTCATGAATAAACAGTTTCAGAGGTGAAACTGTCACACAGGAGTCCAGAGCCCCAATAGTTTTTCTCCCTTTATTTTTCTTTCCTCATCTTTTCTCCTTTCAGAATGAAAGAGGTGACTTTTTTCTCCTAGGCCTGTTGCAAGCCAAGTATGAAGCTAATGGTAGGGGAAATGTTGAACATAAGATCTGGAAGCTGCTTTAGTCCAGGAATGTTGATATAATTAGTTTGAGGTAATTTAAAAGCCTTACAACTCTTTAAAAAAAATAAATATTTTGAAACAACAAATAAAAAGTGCCTGGCACTTCTCATTAGATTAAACTGTCACTGGCAAACTCCAGATGCTTCTTTTATGGAGCCTCAAATACAAATACTTCCTAATTGCCATCCAGCTTTTGCAAAGAAAAGCCAGAAGACAGCCAATATCAACAGAATAGAACAAATAAAACCAAACAAGGATAGTTATTCTCCCTCTGTTCCAGCATACAGATCATCTCTCATGTTCACAGAGATGTTATCTCTCCACAACACAAGCAACCAACTCCCCCCAAAATTTCCCTTACATATTAATATACATTTTTTTAAAAAGTCATTTATGAGTGGTAGGAGAAAACCAAACAAGAAAGGCAACATTAATACTTCTGTTAAGAAGAATAAAGTACCCATAGTAGCATTCTTGTTTGAGGAATTTTTCTTCTGTCTTCAGTGTCTGGGAGATGATTCTCATGGGCTTTGTCCATTTCTGCTCTAGATTTCCACGCATCCAACGCAGACACCTCACAATACACCTTGTAGGGAGGAGCCAGCTACAATTGTAACTAATTTTTATTTTCATCCTAACTTCAGAAAGATGTGGAAGCCCTGGAGAACAATCAGGGTTACAGTCCCGTTGGACAGTTAGGCCTTCTAGTCTAAGGTGAAGAGTGAAAAGCCCACCAGCACAAATCACCACATGATCAAGTTAGGTACAGCTTGTTTTCTCAGGAGCTATCTCCAGAAAGTCCTATAATGTTAACTGAGGGGCCAAGCTGGCAGCAGCCTGCTGCAATCCTGAGGCAACTTGTGGAGATGTGGATGTGGCAGCACTCAGACCCACCAATCATCAGGTCTGCAGACACTATATTGCCTTCAGCACTCTATATGATATAGGCACAGGACTGATCTTCATGTGGCTGGGGCTGCCAGTGCTTTTTTTCAGCCTTGTGTGTTGGTATTTTGCTCCAAGACTCAAATACTGAGGCAGAAAAGTTATCTTGGTGTCACATGTGGGCAGAAAGCACGGTAGAAGCACAAGGAAAGCATACAAATTAAAATGGGAGGGCTGGGGTATCTTTTTAATGGACACCCCTCTCCCCCCAGGTATTTTACAATGTGTATTCACAGCAAAATCTACTTATATTCCCCTGTCATAATAAAATACCTGTGCTGTAGCTGGCAGAGATGTTTTTCTTTCTACAGTAGTGATAGAAGCCATTGCTAGTGCAGCTGCTGCAATTACTTTTCTTAGCTCAGCAGTTTACAACAGTAATTCTCATTAAAGTAAACCTGTGGAATGTGCCAGACTGCTGGCTCTGCAGAGCACAGCCCTACACGTGTCCACAAAATTTAAAGTCTAATAGCTGTATCAGCACAAGTTTTTTTGTGCTGTCTTGGGCACACGTTCCTCCCCACCAGTACCTAGGAAATAATGTGTGCTGAGTTTACTTGATGAATGCGACCACGTAAATGAAGGAAAATAAGAGAAACATCTCACCTGGGTCAGTATATCTACTCTCTCTCATGGAGTGAAGTCTGTAGTATAAGTGAAATTTTAGATCTGGGGGATAAATATTCAGAACCCTCTTCACAGCCTGTGATGTCAAATGCCAACCAGTTTAGCCTCAGCTCATATTTGCACCATATACAGCTCAAAGTACGCATTTGTTCAAGGAGAAGGAGAAACTGCAAGTTATCACAGCTTTGCTTTGGGTAAACTTTTTTTTCTCTTTTCTTAAAAATAAACTAACAAAACAAACATACAAAAAAGAACCTGTAAGTCTTTCTTTGGTGTGTTCATCTGCAGAGAGGAAACATGGGCGACAGGAGAAAAGAGCTGGGAAGAGGAAGTGGTCTCTATTTATGTGAATGGATTGCCAGTGCTAACCCTGTAGTTAATTTAAGTCATTACAAATAGGAGAGACATTTTGCTTTATATGCTTGTTTCTTTTTTCTACTGATGTAAGTACCATCACTCATTCAGTCTAAATGTCACTTTCACAACCTGAAATAATATAGCTTTTTTATTAGTGACTTGCTATATTCAATGACTTCAGGGATACCTCATCCTCCACCATCCACCCCTCTTAATTTCAACACCAGAGACAGCTTCAGCAAGTAAGAGTTTTCACCTTCTCTGTTAATCAAATGGCAGGCAAAAGCATATTTTCTCAGACCTGTTTTTTCAAATCACAAATGACTTGCATATAATTGCTATACTACTGGCTGAATAGGAATAGCATAGAGCAGAATTGTATTCAAGGGGTATTTTGATTTAGGGAAATATATTTTCCTTTCAGCCTACACCTGTTCACTTAAAAACTCTCTTTCTTTCTGTAATACGTTGTATTGAAGCTCAAGGCTGAAATAAAGGCTATTATTCTGTGCTTTTTCCACCTGCCTGCTGGCTGTGTGCCTCTTGCACTGCGGGAAGCAGTGCTCCAAGGCTGCACCACAGAATACATCCTGCAACTCCAACGCTCCTTGTCAATGTAGCTGTTAACTGCATCCTGCTGAAGGGAAGCTGAGTGCTGCAAATCTGAACTGC